AAGGTGACCAGCATGGACCCTCGGCCCCTTCCACAGATGAAGAAACTGAGAGTCAGATCATGCACTGCTCAGAGCCCACGACCAAAGTGGGTGGAGGAGCTGAGACGGAAGCCACACTTGGCCACAAAGTGCATCAGACCAGGGGCTCAGTGGCTGGAAACTTCCCTGTCCCCACCAGCAGGGAACACAAGTGCAGAGCTGCTGCCCGGGAGGCAGGGACTGTTTTATTCCCAATGTACAGAAGAGGCCACTGAGGCACAGGGGGACGCAGCTTGCTGGGGGGGCCCTGAGCTAGACAGCTGCTCCCCGCCTCACAGCCCCACACCTTCTCACTCTCCTGGACGCCCTGCTTAGACCCGGGCCCTCGAGCCACTGTGTGGGTCCTCCATTCTCTGGCCGTCCCTCTCTGTCCCTGGAGAACACCCTCTGTCCCCAACCCAGCCCTGCCAAGGTCACACAGCAGGCAGTCGGGAGTCCTATAGCCCATCCCTTCTCTCCTGGGCCTGGGAAGGTTAAAGCGGGTCAGCTGAGCTGTGACCCTGTGTGGACAAGGGGTGGGGTTCACCAAGGCGTCCCCAGGAGCCACTGTGGCAGGTCGTCCTCCCCCAGCCCTGCCCTGCCCCTCAGATGCCGGATTGCGTCCCCATTCCATAGATGAGCAAACTGACACAGGGGCTGTGACTTCTCAGAATGGAGACCTGGGCTCCTATCCCGCACCCTGGCTCACACTCAGCCCACTCCAGCCCAGGTGCTCCCTCCCCACACAAGTATCCCCAAACCTCGCTCCCTCCCTGGAGCCATCCTCCAGGGACTCAGAGAGCCGCTGGCCAGCCTGCAGCAGGGCAGCCATTCCCATCGGACCAGGAGCCCAGGAGCCCAGGTGGGTGGGCACCCTGCCTCCTTGCACAGCCCCTCCACGAGGGCCACGCCTGCCCCGCTCCGTCCCTCCCTCCCTCCCTCCCCCTGGCGCCCCTCCAGGCCTGGCTAGTACCAGGCAGGCCACCCCCTCCCTGGGGCTACCCATGAATCCCACCTCTGTTGGATGCCACAGACCCCCCTTTCTCCTCCCCAAACAGATGGGGTCTTGAGCAGGGACATCACACACAAGGCCAGATCTATTCCCTGGGCCCTCGGAGCTGCCAGGGGGATGGGCAGCCAGCAGGGGTGTGATCTTCCAGGTCCATGGGCCCTGAAATGGGGGCCAGGTGCTCTGAGCTTCATCCTGGGTCACGGGCACCCCTGCTGATCCCTCCTCCCTTCCCCTACCCGACACTGCACACAATGAGGGGCAGGAAGCTCTGTGCCCTGGCAGAGGTATCCAGACCTCAGCATGGTCTCAAGGCCAATAACCTCTGTGCTGCCTGCTGCATTCACTGCTGTGGCCATGGGAGGGGACACAGGCAGGAAAGTCCTTGACCCACAGTAGGTGCGCAATTAAACAGCTGTTCTCTTGGATTTTCACTCTCTTTTTCACCTCTCCTGACCTAGAAGGGTAAGAGATGGGGCTGGCAGAATAGGGTAAAAGAAATCCTAGGCTGGCAGGACAGAATACAGCCTGTCTCGAACACTCGGAGTCCCTCTGGGGCAGCAGTGAGGCCTCCCAGGCCTGCCACGGTTCAGCAGGGATCTGTCTTTCCACCTGGGGAGGGAGCCTTACAGCCAAACCTGTAAACCAAAGCTCAGAGCCGTCACCTCCCTTTTCACAGACAGGTAAACTAAGGTATGGAGTGGTTAAGCCATTTGCCTAAGGTCACACAGCCACTGAGGAGCTGAATGGGCTTCTTTGGACCATTCAGCCTTCTCCTGTGACCTTGCCTCTCCACTCTGGGTCAAGTCCAAACCTGGTGGCTTGAAACACAAGCTCCCCACTCCTCTCTTCCCCAAAAGACGGTGCAGTGCCACAGAGAAAAGCTCTGGACCCAGGGTCACAGGCCAGGCCTGTGCTCCCCTCCCACCTGGCCTCATCCTTGTCTGTGAAATGGGACAAGCCAAGCCTCCTAGGACAGCCACAAATTCACCCTATTTTTTTTTCTCAGTACTGGGGACAGAAGTCAGGACCTTTGCACTGAGCTGCATCCCCAGTCCCCCCCCCCTTTTTCTTTGGTTTTCTGAGACAGGGTCTCGCTATGTAGTTCAGGCTGCCCTTGAACTCACTATGTAGCCCACACTGGCCTTGAACTCAAAGTAATCTCCCTGGCTCAACCTCCCAAGTGCTGGGATTACAGGCATGCGCCACCATGCCTGGCCTCAGCCCTTTTTAAAATTAAAACAGGGTCTTGCTAAATCACTAAGTTGCCCAGGCTAGGCTCAAACTTGGGATCCTCCTGCCTCAGCCTCCCAGAGTGCTGGGATTCCAGGACTCTGCCACCTCACCCAGCTTCACCAGATGTTTATTGAACATCTACATGCCAGGGCCCAACCAGTACTTGTGCTGAGCAGGAACAGGACAGAGAAAGCTGGTACTCCACAGGGTGTGGAGAGCACAGAGTAAACAAATAAACAAACCCTGGCAGATGTGCTGGAGGCTGGAAGGGAACAGAGGGAGGAGGCCCGGAGCACCAGACAGGGTGGTCAGGGAGGGCTTCCCTGGGGAGGTGACACTGGGGCCCTCAGGACAGTCAAAGAGTCTGCCAGTGCCTCCTACATCTTCGCTCATTTAAAAGACCCCTAGATTCCACTGCCGTGCCTCCATTTCACAGGTGAGGAAACTGAGGCTCCCAAGGGCCTGCAGCCTGCAAATGCCACCTGGGGACACAAAGCGCAGCCTGGTGAGCCCAGCCCTGGCTCCCTGCAGCCTTTCGTAGTCTCAGTGTCATAGGCACCCACTGCCCTGCCCCACCCACCCTGGAACAGCTGCCACAGAGGAAGCCTTGCGCTGTGAGTGAATGACCAAGGTCGTGGTGGCCCCATGTCCACCCTTCGGGGTCACCCTGGACAGCCCTTGTCCTCTCCCTGGGCCAACAGGAGATGGGAGGAAGAGGCAGGTTAGAGGCTTTACTTCATGCCTCCCTCGCTGGCCAGGCCCATTGTACAGATGAAGAGACTGAGGCCAGAAAGGCGATGACAGGTGTCCGAGGGCCCTGCCTAGAAAGCGACAGTCCCAGGACCGGAACTAGATCCTAGTCTTTCAAAGACAGTTGTTTGCCTGCTACAAACCCCCTCCAATGATCCCCTCAGGGAGTCCTTTTGCACCCCTCACCTGGCTGTCCCCTGTGGTGCCCTGTGACAGCACAAAGGGTTCCTTCTCCCCAGCCAGGCGCGGCACAGGCCAAACTCCAGGGCCTCCAGAGGAAGCTGCCACATGGGGTTCCACTGCCGAGGTGCTATGTGACCGACACAAGGCCCTCTGCCTCTCTGGGCCACCCTGTTCCTGTCACCATGAACCGGGGACAATCTGCCTACTGCAGAAGGGACAAGGTGCGGCAGGGTACCACAAGGAAGATCTCTGGTGAAAAGACACCGTGGCCTCCTTCTACACATCAGGAAATATTTAGGAGGAATGATGGGGAGGTGGCTGAGAATCACAATGCCAAGTCACGTGCCACACCTCAAACACAGCACTCTTGCAAGGCACGTGCCTCATCCTCACTGGACAGAGGAGGGAAATTAAGGCACAGGTCACACAGTATAAGAACCAGGGCCAGGATTCAAATCCCAATCTTACTGCTCTCCCAAGAGGCTTCCTAGTGTTTCTCAGTCAAATGTTGCTCCAGGCGAATTCTGGAGACCGGGGTCACAGAGAGAAGACAAACGTCCCAGCGAGGCAGAGGCAGGCTACTCTGGAGCAGGACCCTCGGGGAGAGACACAGACACACAAGGGCACCAGGTGGCCCCCAGAGTTGGCTCCCTCAGCCCCAGTGGTGTGACCCCCTGCCCCTGCTGTGTGACCTGGGCGAGTTGCTTCCCTACCTGACACGGAAAAGGCAGGATCAGGGCCTGGGACGAACTCGACTGAGAGAGGAGCAGGAGTCCGGGTGGGGAATGCACAATCAGGGGCCCTGGGTGGGGACAGAGTGGCCAAGGTGGGGCACAGCTTTGGAGGAGGGACAGGCAGCTCAGCCCCACCTCTGAGCCTCCCACCCCTTGAAAAACCCCACAGAGCAGCACCAAGCGCCCTGCCGCGGGTTCCTTTCCCCAGGGATTCCCGCTCCGCTCCTCGGCAGCCACAGCCCCTGCACGTGGGGACCACCAAACCTCCAAGACAGCATCTCCCTCTGCCTAGCAACCACCAACTGCGCGCCGGCAGCCAGCCTCCTCCCTGTCTCCTCCTCTCTCCATGGAGACCACAATGCCACAGAGGCGGCTCCCTCGCCACAGCAACAGCCATCACTCAGCGCCCGCCTGCCCGGACAACAGCTCCCTCCACGTGGCCACCACCAACACAGCCGTGGTGACAGTGACAGCCCGAGCTCTCCTCTCCAGGGCAGCCACTAGCTCCAGCCAGGAAGGCACAGCGCCTGTCTGGGCCTGCCTGCGGCCTCCTGGTGTCAGACTGCTCCTGATCTGCAGCCTCCAGAGGTCAATGACACCAGGTCCAGCCCTGCAACAACACTGCTGGCATTTCACCTGCCCCCAGCTGACCCCAGCCCCCAGTCTTCCCCTCCACAATGCAAAGGCCCCTGCTGGAGAGGGAGAAGAGGCCATGTTGTCCCAGGCTGTCCCTCAAGGGACACCTCCAGCAGGGACAGATGCCTGTGGCCCATGGGTGCTGGTCCAGGTCATCCCCTCGGCCGGCACGGAGCAGGAGCATCCTTCCCACCTCCCTGCGGCCCTGTCCCAGCCCCCAACAGGCCTGCGGCTCTGCCAGCTGCCTCAGAGGCCCTGGGGAAGGGGGCTGGGGAGAAGCTGGCTGGGGGTGCCCACGGCTGGGGACGGACACCAGCCAGGCAAGAAGGCACACCCAGCAGACTGAGGCTGGGCTCATCACGGGTTCACAAGGCCAGGTCATGTGAGCAGCGCTCACACAGCCACGCACACAGTCAGGAGGACCCTGTCCTTACCAGACGTCTGCGGGCAAAGGAAAGGGGCCCTGCAGCCAGCACAGCAGTCCCTGGCCTGGGTCTCCGGGAGGTCCCTGGGCAGCCGCCAAAGCAGAACTGGCAATGGGGTCCTGGGTCCTGGCCCAGCACAGCGGCAGCGCAGCTCCTCTCCTAAGTCCTCTCCTCTGCCAGGAGGCGAGGGGGAGAGAGGGAGGGAGAGGAGAGGAGGAGAGGAAGAGAGGGAGGGGAAAGCAGGAGGGAGGGAGGAGGGAAAATGCTGAAGTCTTGAAGGGTACACTCACTTCTTTCTTAGGGTTCCCATAGCAACCGAATATACCACAAATGATATCAGAGAGAGAGGGAGAGAGAGGGAGAGAGAGAGAGAGAAAGAGAGAGAGAGAGAGGAAGGAGGAGGAGGAGGAAGAGGAGGAGGAGGAGGTGGCAGAGGGAGGGAGGGAAGAAGGGAGGAGAGAGATAGAGACAGAGAGACAGACAAAGAGATGGAAAGATGCGGCTGAGAGATAGGGAGGAAAACAGAGAGAGAGATGGGAAGAGACAGAGACAGAGAGATGAGGAGAGAGCAGAGAGAGATAGAAGCGGAGAAATGGGAGGAGTCAGAGGTAAAGAGACAGGTGACAGGGAAGCTACGTATGGTGGTGCAGGTCCATCATCCCAGCCCGTGGGAGGCTGAGGCAGGAGGATCCAAAGTTCAACCCCAGCCTGGAGAACTTGGCAAGATGGTGCGGCAAAATGAAAAATAAATTTTAAAAGGGCTAGGGCTGTAGCTCAGGGCAAAGGCCCTGGGTTCAGGCCCCAGTACCACAAACCTATACCTATATATAAAATAAAAACAGACCACAGAGCAAGAGCGCTAGAGAGGAAGGGCCTGGAGGTACAGAGAGGGCTGGGGTCACCCATCCAAAGCCGCAAGGCTCAGGGCCAAGGACAGCCAGGTGCCACAGCCATCTTGCCAGTGGCTGAGCAGGAGGTGCACGTACCAGATGGGGTTTTCTGGTTCCTCCAGCCAGTCCCCCAGGCCCCACTCTTGGTCACAGGCACACACATCACACCCACACACGTGTAAGTGCACGCACACAGCCTCACACTGGGCTGGCACCCAGCGATGCCGACCACACCACTTGCTGCTGGTCACCCAAAGGTTAGCACCGCGGCTCCCTGCTTCTGCTGGGCCCAAACCCGCACAACTCCTGGGGCTGGCACCCCTTCCCCAGGTACCCACCTTCCGGCCCCCACTCACACACACACACACAGACCCAGGGCCGGACCCGCCCCATGGGTGCACACACAGGTGTGCGCGCACACGCGGGCCTCTCTCCCTGTCTGGCCCCCATCCCCGCCAGCCAGATGGTGCTGGGCCTCCCTCCCCCACAGGAGGGGCTCACACCTCGGCCCCCTCAGCGGTGCCATTCACAAACACATGCAGACCCACGGAGCGCAGGCAGCCAGCGGCTCCCGGCAGAAAGCACACATACGGCCCCCCACACTGCCTCCACCACTCCCCCACCCCGAGGAAGGGACCCCTGCTGCAGGAAAGGCACCTAGCCCTGGCCACCGCCCACACTAGAGCCCGAGACCTGTGGGCAGCCGGATGCGCAGGCACCCTGGGTCCACACTGGACACACACACTCTCCCATACCCACAAGGGACAACCAACACACCCACCCAGCCGGACACGGGTGCCCTGCTCAGCCAGCCAGACTCGCAGCTGGGCCAGCGCGCTGGGACACACTGCGCAGGCCACATCAACACGCCCACAGGCCACACGCCCCCTCCAGGCCCGCACCCCAGGCAAACACGCCCCCACACAGGACACCCTGCAGAGACTGCACGCCAGCACGTACTTGTCCCCAACCCAGCCCACGCACAGGGAGCCACTCCCGGGTGCAGGGGCCAGGGCGCAAGTGCACCTTGGCCGCGCCTGGGCGCTTCGCGCTGCGGCCTTGAGCGCCCACCGAGGACGCCCGCGGCGCTCGGGCCACCCCCGCCCGCCTGGGCCCGGCCCGGTCCCCGCCCGCGGCTCCCCATCCCGCGCACCGCACGGAGCCCAGAGGTCGTGAAATTGGCTGCGAGCGACAGAGGCTGCAAATTCCAAGCACAGGGAAGGAAGGCGGAAAGCGGCCGCTGGGCGTGCCGCGTGGGCGGGGCCGCAGAGCGCGGGGCGGGACTGGACCCGGGGGCGGTGGCGGCGAGGGCCCAGGCAGGGGGCTCCCAGCGCTCGCTCCCGCTCCCAACCCACACCGGCCTCCGCTGCGCGCCCTCCCCGGCCTGGCTCCGCCCCACCGCCTCCAGGACCCCTTCCAGGCCCTTCAGCTTCTTCCACCCCCACCCTGGCTGGGCTCGTCTCAAAGCTGCGGGCCCAGCCCGGGCGAGGCGGAGAGGAAGACGGTGCGCTGTCCAAGGTGCTGGCCCTCTGCAGCCTCGCCTTTGCCCACCACGCGAAGAGCTGCGCCAGCCAGGTGCCTCGGCCTCCGTGTCCTCGTCTGCGCAATGCAACGAACCCGAGGGGCCTCTGAGCCTGGAGGAGAAATCCCCGAACAGATGCAGGACTCAGCCTGCGGAAACAGACTCGTGTTGTCAGTACCGGCCTCTGCCTTGGGGTTGTGGCCCCCAAAGAAGGCAGGGCCTGGCTCTGAGCTCAACTCCTTGATTCTGGAGAACTTACAGCCCTTCCTCCCCGCAACGCACACTGTAAACATGGGTAATGTGCTTTTCCAGACGAGCACTAAAACTGAGGGTTCTAGCCAAACCCAGTAGGGCACACACCTGTAATCTCAGCACTCTGGGAGGCTGAGGCAGGAGGATCCCAAGTTTGACCCCAGCCTGGGCAACTTAGCAATATCCTGCCTTAATTAAAAAGAGGGCTGTGAATGTTGCTCAGTGCAAAAGCCCTAGATTCACTGTCCAGTACTGAAAAAAAAAAAAAAGTTCCTGAGGCCCACATCAACTCTACTGAATCAAAAGCCCAGCAGGCAGGGCCCAGGAATCTGCATTTTAACACAGAGATGCTCATGACGAAAGGCTTAATTTCTTCACCCAGCATTTCTGTGCCTGTGTGACTAGCCTCAAAGTACTTATTCTTCTTCCAGTCCCCTCCAGGCCTCCTCACCCTGCTCCTCACTCGGTCACTCCACAGAGCACGCCCACCCCCCAGAGGCCACAGGACCTCATTAGGAGGCCTGCAGCCAAAATTAAACAAGGAAGTAGACAGCGACTCATGCTGTGCCTGGCACGTGGCAGGTGCCCAGTCGAGGGAGCTCCGCAGTGCCCAGAGCAGAAGGCATCCCAGCCTCCCTAGCCCTGCCATGCGGCTGGCTCAGCACCTGCTTCCACCCAGCAGCACCAGCCCTGCCAGTCAGGTCACACACTAATAATGTCCATCTGCCGCACAAGCCCTACTGTGTGCACTCGCCAGCTGTTCCCTGGGCCTCATCCTCCAGGGCTCTGAGCTCCCCCAGGCAGGGACTCATCCCTGGGGGCTCCTACCTGAGCCCCAGAGCCTAGCAGTCCTCCAGGTGCAATGTGCTCCATCTGCATGGGAAATGCCCAGAACCATCCTCAGAGCATCCAGATGAAAGGGCTCTGCTCAACAAGTATTTTTTTAGGGCATCTGGGGCCAATGCACAGTGGGAGGGACAAAGAGGAAACAGCTCAACAACAGATTGGAAACCCACCCCCAGAAACGAAGAGGGCCACCAAAGGAGGGTGGCAGGCTGACCCCACAATCTCTGTCTCTCCAAGATCCAAAGGGGACTATAGAGGAAGAGAGATAGGAGAGATGGGCCCAAGAGAGAAACCAAGTCACTTCTGAGTCTCGGGGCTGAGCGTGCTGGTCAGGCAGCCCTTGAGACGGTCCGCACTTTCCCCGAGAGAGGTGGTGGCCAGGATGCACACATGTGCAATCACACACACACACACACACACACACTCTAAGACCAACTCCAGGGAGCAAGGGAAGTGAAGAGGCAGATGGAAAGGAGGTGGGAGCCATCTGACCCCGACTACACAGCAGACAGGGCGCTGCAACCCACTGATGACTGGAACCATCAATCCTATTTTCAAGGCAGCAGAGACTTTCCGAGTTGCACTGGCTGCCCAGGACACACGTGGGTGAGGACAAAAGGCTCTGCTCTTTCCATAACCAAGATGGAGGAGAGTGTGGCAGGTTCTGGGGGGCAGGTGTGACCACAACAGACTTGGCACCCGGACAAGATATAATCCTGGAGAGTCCCACAAGCAATGCCCTGGCCCAGCAATGGGGAAGGCACTGGGAGAAGCCTTGAGGGACTTCACAGGTCCCTGTGCAGGCCAAGTGGGGTGGCGGGGAATGAGATCCAGGAGCTGTCCCCAAGGCCTCTTCCTTCCTGCCCCTTTGCCCCTCCAGCCACCAGATACGGCTCCCAACCCGCTGCTTCCTTACAGCAGGCTCACTGTCCCCATGTGCAGATGTCAAAAGCAAGGCCCCAAGAGCGTCCTCAGCTAGAGAGCCACCCCAAGGAGGAAGGCCCCAGGCCCACCAGGCAAAGGAGTTCAGCAGTGGATGGTGCTGGTTCCAGGGTCACCATGAGGGGGTGCCAGTCCTGGTTCCACCGCTGTGTGGCCCTGGGCTGGTCTGTAACCTCTCTGTCTTGTGTGTGAAATGGGGAATAAAAATATCTCCTACTTGCAGGAGGTTTTGGTGGCACTGGAGTGCCAAGTGCTGCTTACAAAGTGCTTCACACCAGGCCTGGCTCTCAGTAGGAGCTCAATAAATATTAGCTCATATCCTTGTTATTATTATCGCTATAATTGTCATTGTCGCTATCAGCAGCATTGACGGCCACCACCCTCCCTCTGGTCCCCAAGCGCACACCTGCCTGGGTGGCACTCCGTCCTCTGGCATCTCCAGGACTTTTCTGAGGACTGCACAGAACTGGGGCAAGGGAGAGGGGCTCTGTGACTCCAACCCCTTAGACACTGGCCACAGCTATGCTGGCAGCGGCTCTGCCAGGTGCTAACTGAGCCAAGAGAAGGTTAATTTAATCAGAGATCGGGCTGGGGAAGGAGGAGGCAGAGGACTGAGTTAACCTGGTCTGTTCACCCCATCCCCAAGAGGCCTGACTCATTAAGGAGGCTCACACCTGGGGCAAAGCCGCCCAGCCACAAGCACAGCACACGCACCCCAGGGCTTGCAGGACAGGAGGTAGCCCAGGCCTGTACCCGATGCCACAGCTTCACACTCACTCACCCAGCCCCAAGGCAAGCAGCCACTGCCCTCTTACAGAGGACCCCTCCGCCACCACTGTCACACACAGCCAGGATGTAGCACAGGTCGCCTGGGAAGCCACCTCTGCTTCCACAGC